GTACATACAAAAAAACTATAAATAATAAACAGCCTGTACCAATAGCGGGGTCTGAAGTTCTGAGACTACCGCTGAAAATATATGTAAATTCATATATACGTGTATATATATATGAATTTACAGATACATGAGGAAGTCAGGAGTGGCAGAGAAGTATGTGAGGGTTACGCAGGACATGTAAGAGGACAGAGAGATAGTGGTGAGGTGTGCAGTGGGAGTGACGGATGGGCTGGGATTAAATCAGTGATCAACTCTGAGCCCCTTGTTCTTTGGTGATGAATAGGCTGACAGAGGAGGTCCGGCAAGTCTCAGTGCACTGTGATGGTTGCAGACAACATTATGATCTGTAGTAAGAGTTGGGAGCAGGTGGAAGAGAGGCTGAAGAGTTGGAGGTATGGTCTGGAAAGAAAAGGAATGAAATTCAGTAAAAGCAAGACAGAAAATGTGTGTGAATGAGAGGGACACTGGTATCACAGTGAAGATGCAAGGAGCAGAGTTGGTGAAACTAGATGAGTCTAAATGCTTGGGGTCAACAATCGTAGACAATGTACAGTTGACAAAAGAAGAAGAGAGTTCATGCAGGGTGGAGTGGGTGGAGACAAGTGTCGGGGTGATTTGTGAATGAAGCATAGCACCAAGAGTAAAAGGGAGAGTTTACACAATGGTAGTGAGACCTTCTATGACAAATAGTTTGGAGATGATGGAACTAATAAAAAGACAGGAGACTGAGATGGTTTAGACATGTGAAGAGGTGGGATATATTGGACAAAAGATGATGAATTTGGAGCTGCCAGGCAGGAGGGAAATGTTTATTAGAATAATCAGCTTAAACATTTGAATGAAAAGTTTATTCTGTGAATTTAAAAAAATCTTAGCATTGGTCTGCTCCCTTTGGCTTCAATGACAGCACCATTTGAGCTGCACAGGACTCCAAGTCAGAAAGATGTGAAAATAGTAAAATGCACTCATAAAGAAATCACTGTAACCTATCTAAACAGTAGAAACAGAAAAACCGTGTTTGTCATTTGTGACTGTACTTGGATGCAGTCCTTTAAGATAGACACATGTCAGTGTGCTAACAGGGGCACAGTGACAATGCTACTGAAACTACCAAGACAATCTAATTAGAACTAAAGTCAAAGTCATCTGAGGAGGCATCAAAGTCAGGGGCTCAAAATAATCATATGTCTAATAAGTGTATCTATCTGGTCTACTTTGATTTTTTTTAAAAATCAGACTTGTGGTGTACATTAGAGGTTTTTTTTTCAAGGACTCCCCTTAAGCTGACAGTGTGAGCTCATCAAATATGTCTTCATACCCACCAGCTAGCTAGCCAGACAGTAAACAGTAGCTGGAACATTTTTTGAAGTGAGAAGTGACTGATTTCAGAGTTTAGAAACACTGGTAGAACTACTAGCAACAATGTGTTTGTTTTACGGGCTTAAATTGCCTTCATGCTTATACAGTGGGGCAAAAAAGTATTTAGTCAGCCACCGATTGTGCAAGTTCCCCCACTTAAAATGATGACAGAGGTCAGTAATTTGCACCAGAGGTACACTTCAACTGTGAGAGACAGAATGTGAAAAAAAAATCCATGAATCCACATGGTAGGATTTGTAAAGATTTATTCGTAAATCAGGGTGGAAAATAAGTATTTGGTCAACTAAACAAGAAATATCAATCTGGCCAATACCTTTGTAACATAACCTTTGTTGGCAATAACAGAGGTCAAATGTTTACTATAGTCTTTACCAGGTTTGCACACACAGTAGCTGGTATTTTGGCCCATTCCTCCATGCAGATCTTCTCGAGAGCAGTGATGTTTTGGGGCTGTCGCCGAGCAACACGGACTTTCAACTCCCGCCACAGATTTTCTATGGGGTTGAGGTCTGGAGACTGGCTAGGCCACTCCAGGACTTTCAAATGCTTCTTACGGAGCCACTCCTTTGTTGCCCGGGCGGTGTGTTTTGGATCATTGTCATGTTGGAAGACCCAGCCTCGTTTCATCTTCAAAGTTCTCACTGATGGAAGGAGGTTTTGGCTCAAAATCTCACGATACATGGCCCCATTCATTCTGTCCTTAACACAGATCAGTCGTCCTGTCCCCTTGGCAGAAAAACAGCCCCATAGCATGATGTTTCCACCCCCATGCTTCACAGTAGGTATGGTGTTCTTGGGATGCAACTCAGTATTCTTCTTCCTCCAAACACGACGAGTTGAGTTTATACCAAAAAGTTCTACTTTGGTTTCATCTGACCACATGACATTCTCCCAATCCTCTGCTGTATCATCCATGTGCTCTCTGGCAAACTTCAGACGGGCCTGGACATGCACTGGCTTCAGCAGCGGTACACGTCTGGCACTGCGGGATTTGATTCCCTGCCGTTGTAGTGTGTTACTGATGGTGACCTTTGTTACTTTGGTCCCAGCTCTCTGCAGGTCATTCACCAGGTCCCCCCGTGTGGTTCTGGGATCTTTGCTCACCGTTCTCATGATCATTTTGACCCCACGGGATGAGATCTTGCGTGGAGCCCCAGATCGAGGGAGATTATCAGTGGTCTTGTATGTCTTCCATTTTCTGATGATTGCTCCCACAGTTGATTTTTTCACACCAAGCTGCTTGCCTATTGTAGATTCACTCTTCCCAGTCTGGTGCAGGTCTACAATACTTTTCCTGGTGTCCTTCGAAAGCTCTTTGGTCTTGGCCATGGCGGAGTTTGGAGTCTGACTGTTTGAGGCTGTGGACAGGTGTCTTTTATACAGATGATGAGTTCAAACAGGTGCCATTCATACAGGTAACGAGTGGGGGACAGAAAAGCTTCTTACAGAAGACGTTACAGGTCTGTGAGAGCCAGAGATTTTCCTTGTTTGAGGTGACCAAATACTTATTTTCCACCCTAATTTACGAATAAATTCTTTACAAATCCTACCATGTGGATTCATGGATTTTTTTTTCACATTCTGTCTCTCACAGTTGAAGTGTACCTCTGGTGCAAATTACTGACCTCTGTCATCATTTTAAGTGGGGGAACTTGCACAATCGGTGGCTGACTAAATACTTTTTTGCCCCACTGTATATGGAACTATGATTATGCATGATTATGATTTTATAGCTGCTCTTGGCCAGTGGGTTGTGAACTCCTGGTTGATGACCTGGCATTGAAGGAATAATAATTGTCTATGAGCGTAAATAAATAAATATACTCCACAGTGAGGGAAGTGGGCCCCAGCCAAAGACACTGTGGCACTGTTATCAGCAATTGTAGAAGCTATCTGCGGTGGCCATGTTTCTACGCATACAGTATACAGACACTCCCAGGCTTCATATAGCCTATTTGATTAGGCTATATGAATGTGTGTCCAAAAACACACTTTCATAAACATTTAGGGAACTTCAGGAAAATGTGACAGCAACATGAAAAACTTTCCATTTGTTGTGGCATAAAAATATGTGAAATAAAAGATTGTACAGACTTGGAGGAGAGCCTCATTATAGCAGTTTGAAAATCTATAACTCAAAGCAGACTTTTAGACTTCTTAATCTGAAAATGAAAGATAAAAGAGAAAGAAAAAGTGGAACGTTTGCTGAAACACATCACAAAATGTTGAAAAACCTGTTTGCAGTTATGTGTGAGTGAGCTGTCTTACAACATATTTATGTGTACAGTAAATATGAAAAATATTCATCTAGCGTGCCATCTGGTTTTTGTAGTCACATAATTGGTTAAATGGTGTCACCTGAGTCAAGACATCTGACTAAAGTATATGGAAGGTGACACTTAAATACTCTTTAGAGGCACTGCACATTTTCAGTGCCCTTATTGGAGCACTAAGGCAGCACAGATGAGCTCTATCAGGATTACAACAAGCAGGCTGATGGGAGTTATCATTGCAGGCCAGAGCCAAACACCAAAGACACACCTAGACAAACTATACAACACTTGATTACACAGAATACCATTTCTTATTAAAAAGCAGTAAAATATTTCAATGCATTTCTTTTCAAAATAAAAGCCTAATCACATTTATGATTCAATTCATAATTACATTAGTGACCTTTTAATATTTGCCTTCTAAAGTTTGCTAAATCTACCAATCCACAAATAATGAGGCCCAACATTAACTTTCAGCACATTTCTTCAGACTGTGTGGGTCTTCATAAGCTTATGAATGGACAGTGTCCTCAGTGCATACATACAACCTGAAAATGCATTCAGAGCCTTGGTTAATAGTATCGCCTTTTTATGTATAAAAACATAGTTTATAGCTAAAAAACAAAACAAAACCTCGAAGGTTGCGAGACTTTTTCAGACAAGCAATTTCCTTATTTGAATTCTTTCCGCATTTGACTTCAGGGTGACACTCTTTGACAGAGGGTATGCTGGAGGCAAAATACTTGTGATGGTAGTCTTTGTTGAGTTTGGCGCCCCTTAGTGCAAAAAGTATGGCAAACAACTTTAGAACCAAGTTTTATTTATTTTTTGTCTCTAGCTCTGCTTCAGTATCTTTATGCCACATTTCTGTGTTAAATGTTGTGCCAAGAAACCCACCAATGGCAGGTTCCATCTGATCTGTTCATTCATGTTAAATAAGTAATTATTTCATTTTCCTATTGAGGTGAGAGAAAATAAAAAAAAACCCAAAACAATTAGCATGCATAACAATAGGAAGTAGAAACCTAGAGAACGGGGTCAGTATTTATGTGAGGTACCCTTAACTAGTATGGCCCTACACCCATTTGTGTCAGAGGACAGAGACAAAACAGGAAAAGCCTGTTGAACTCGGCTGTAAACTAGTTGGCAGTTTGTGTGCGATCCTCCCTAGAGGTTGACAGCCTCGGCCCACAGAGGAAAAGCTGTTTTGCATGCAATGAAAAACACCTGGTTACCAGTTCCAAGAACCAAATACGTGTGAGGACAACAATCACATGCAAGCATTTTAAGAAACCCATTAAAGATAATAAGACACCTTTAATTGTGAAAAAGTGACACACGCAGTACTTAAAGAACAATTGCCTTTATTTCTTGCTCCAGTTTTAATATCAGAAAACAATGCAAAAGGATTTATGGAATATGAGCTAGCATCTAGTATGTGAGCTTCATAGACCAGCTGGTGACGGCCCTTAGAAACACACATTTCATGCGAAAGTACTTTACCGAATCAAATTAGAGCAGAAACTTGGCTAAGCTCAGGTGCTGCAGACAATAGCATCATTAGGTCCAATCGTTTTAATGTTTTACTCCTTTCAAATTTGATATGGATTTAAAAAAAAAAAGAAAAAAAAAAGGTCCAGATTCCCTTTCCATCCACCAAGCCACAAATATGACAATGCAAATCTATTCAAAACCAGCAGAGCAAATTACTACTTTATGAAAATGATGAAATATAAAAATGCTTTAGTGACAAATCATTATGCATAGTGTGGTGCAAAGATAATGTATTTCCATTTGTATTGTTCCAACAAAAAACAAACAAACAAACAAACCTACAGTGAGAAACAAAACACAACTAGTCGGGTAGAAAATGACAGGCAATAGGACAAAAAGGTGAACTCCCTCCATATCATCTGCAACATCATCTCCCTGTCTTTGCTCCTATGATGAGGGAACTCCAGGGACAGATACATCATACCATAACCTTTAATAGTTGAAGCAACGGTAATCATTAATACCCCGGAGGACCACTATGGGAACAGAGAGAGGAGCCATGAGGCAGAGCAGAGTTGGTTTACTGCTAGTGCTTCTCTTCTGGGTGTGTAAACCACAGCTGCACGGTTGTGTAGCAGTAGGGAGGTTTACATGATGACGCATGGAGCGCGGCTTTTGGTGATCTTCTGCAAAGGTTTGCCATCATAAGCATTTTGAATCGCGTTCATGACCTGTGCCAAGAAATACACAGTATAAGTGTACAATGACAATAAAGGGCTATTCTTTTCTAATTGACATATGATAGGCAAATTGTATGCACAGTACTTACGTCATCCTCATAAGGGAATCCACCAGTTTCAAACTTGGAGAAGACCAGCTGCCCATTGATTTCAATCTCAAAGCTACCTATAATACCAAGGGCAGCAGAAATAGGACGTGAGAATGGCGCTTTGATGATCTGAGCTCACAATAAAGGGAGGGGCGGAATTTAAGGCTGGAGCTATGAACTCGTGGTTTGTCTCATCTGATATGAAACAAACCATGAGTTCCAGCTCCAGCTTTATCTGCAGCGATCAACGATGACTTACCGGTTCTTCCCACGAAACCTGTCACGTCCGCATCGCTAAACTCACCCTTGACAACACGGGCGAGCTCACGATAGCGGGGCTCGTAACCTCATCCACCACTAAATTAAATAAAAACACAGGTGGGTAAGAAAATCATACAAGCAAAAGCAGAATCAGCGCTCCTTACTCTTGGCTCAGGCTGCTGCCTGCGCAGGCACCTAGCTTAGCTATGAGCTAGCCAAAAGTGAAACTGTGTTTAAACTGACAACAGACAAAAAGTTAACTGAAAATATAAAGAAAGTACGTAATATGAAAGAAAATACCAATATTCCACTCTGACTGTGACCCCCATCGTCGCTGATCCTCTAATGACCACAGAGCTCCGAACGTCTGCTTTGGTAACCACCGATTGTGTAAAACCAAACCGGAAGAGGGGCGGAGCTTATTTACCCCACAAACCAAGAAAAACCTGATCTGTCGAGAGAAGTCCGAGCACAGAGCTACACAATACATTTCTTTCTTTAAAAATAAATAAATGTTAAATTAATTTTTAAAAACATTAAACTTTAACTAATTAGGTTATTTTGAATGGCTTAACCGGAAGTACTGCATGTAAATATCATTGTTAAAGTGCAGAAAAAAAGAAAATAAAAAAAGTGCAACGTTAGTGTTACACATTAATTATTTGAAAGCTAATTAGAGTTTTAGCTATTGTTTCATGGTTTGGCGGCACATTTTATTTTATTTTATTCGCTCATCAGGCGAATAAAAGAATAATTAGAAGCAGGAAACAGGAAAACCTAAAATTTGCAGTTAATTTGAATAAAGGCATTTGGTTACATGGCGACACTACAGGATACCAAAAAATGAGTGTGATTATGGTGTTAGTTTTTTCTTTTCTTTTTTCTTTTTACAATGTAATGTCCCATGATTGCAAAATTACTTATTAGATGTTTTAACCCCCAAACCTCTCTGAGTATTATGAAAAAAATACAGTTTTTGTTTGTGTGGAGTAAATGATAAATGGTTATTAGTGTTTATGGCAGGCGTGTCTCATTGCTGACTGCAGATGACCTTCAGACTCTACACACTACCATGACTCCTTCAGTGCCTGCATTTTTCACACAAAGGCTGGAAACATGGAGTAGACATGTGAGAAAATGATGATTGTTTTATACATTACAGGCTTACAGACAGCACAGATTTGGAGATGGCAACTAGCAATCTGTCAACATGTAAGTGTTAATATATGATTCTCCTTATTCACCACAAAACATACACAATTATGTCTGAAACCCAAAGACTTTGTATTATTAGTGTCACGAAATGATTTCATAATGTTTCATTAACAAAGAAATTGGTCACAATGGATTGATTAGTGATGTTTCCACACTGTTTTGGTCATTTTTGTTCACTATAGTTTCATTGATAAGTAGCATGGAGTTTAATGCTGTTATGTAATACAGTGTTGAAATGTTTCTATTAATCCATGATGAAAAAAACCATAGTCAGCCATAAGGTATATAAGCTTTAATAAATCTTTCATGCTTCATATTTACTCATTTTTATACTTGCCTCATGTTCTAATAGCTGTTTCATTTATCCTTGGTTAATTTCTTTCTTTTTTTGTTTAGAAGAAGTGTCTTTAAAGCGTCTTTAGTGCAATGCTGAATCAGGGGAAGTCGCACCCATCTGTGATTCAAAGTGGCCCCGCCCATAATAAAGCATTGCTTTAAGGCCCTATCACAGAGAAAATGGATGCGTGATATCACAATTTACTCCTGCACAGTTATCAAGAAGGGGCTAATTAGTTGTAGAGTCTGAAATGATTTATCTTTATCAGGGTGAAAACATGTTTTGGGATCTCATATACAAAAATACTTTTAAATTAGTCTGCCTTGTTCTTGTTGTTTGAGATACATGCATTTCTGATTTCAGTCTTTTTGATATTTTATGTCATGGATGGGAATTCATCAACAAGTAAAAAAGAAGATTTTGGGATTAGCTTTTCATTCTTGCCTCTTTTCCTTAATGTGTATTTCTATTTTTCTTCTTTAGTGGATGGTTGGTGTACATCACAGTTAAAGATTGTCCTTCTTGGTGGCAGAGACTCTGGAAAGAATGCTGTAGGAAACTTAATCCTGGGTAAAGAAGAGTTTGGCACAGAAGAGAGGACTTTATGCTCCAGGAGGATTGGGAAAGTGTCCGAACTGCGGGTCACAGTTGTGAACACTCCTGGCTGGTGGTGTGACTCCAGTGCTCAGAACACACCTAAGCTGGTGAAGAGGGAGATCATAACCAGCGTTGCTCTCTGCTCGCCAGGCCCACATGTGTTCCTTATAATAATTAAGGCAACCTCTGTCTTGTCAGAAAAGCGTCGGAAGGCTTTGGAGGAACACGTGGCCCTGCTGGGTGACGCGGTGTGGAGTCACTGCATGGTTGTCTTCACCTGTGCTGAGAAGTACAAAGACACAAATTTAGAAGAGTATGTAGAAAGTGGGGGAAAGGCCCTCTGCTGGCTCAGTGAAAAGTGCAGCCAGAGGTGTCACAGTGTTGTCCCGAGTGATAACTCTCAACGCACAGTGCTGCTGGAAAAGATACAGAAACTTGTCACAGAAAATGGAAACAGTGTGTTTGAAATGGAGGCAAAAATTTTATGGGTGAATGAAGAGGAAAAGAGAGAGATGGAGGAGAGGACTCGGCTGAGGTTAAAGAAAATGAAAAAACACAGATCTCTGATACAAAGTGAGTTGATGTGCATGTACGTATGTATGTGTGGAAGTTATTAACACATTTGTTGAAATCTTAAAAGATGAAAAACAGAAAGTAAGAATAATCTTCAGAGAAAGAGGAAGTAATGAAAAGACAAAGTACTAACACAGAGACAAAAAGACCCATTAAACAAGATGACAGTGAAAAGGGAAGACAGGAGAGAAAAGTAATTAATACTGAAACCAGATAATAAGGGAAACATTGCAGGTGTAGCAGAAGGGATAACAATGAAGTCAAAGTGGGAACTAAATTCTGAGACTAAAAGTCATCATGTAACAGAACATTAGGTAATGACAAAGAATAATAAAACAGAAGTGCAAAAAAACCAATCTTTAAACACTAGACTAAAAATAAAGACCAAACAGAAAAACAAAATTAAATATATTAAACAAGAATACAAAACTCAAAAACACAAAAGCTAGACCCTGACAGTAACATGCAATCCAGTTTACTGAAACTGTGTGTTTTGGAAAACCCTTCGGGCAGTTTTTGCAACTGGCAGACGTCATGTAACCATTTTGCAAAACTCAAAACCACAAGAAGCAGAAGTTTCAAAAAAACAAAAAAAACAAAACCTCAGCATGCACAGATGTCATTTCTCCAACTGAACAACTCCAAATTACCTCTATTTGTTTGTTAAATTGTGATACAACCTATATAACCCTCAAAATCTCATTCTCAACAAAACTGTTTGCCTGTGCTTAAAATCACACAACCAGCTAAAATCATAAGTGCTGAGGACTGATTACACACTAAAAAAAACAACACAGTGTTCACTACCCGTAACCGAGGTCTTTCCAAATTCGTGTGCTGTCTTGCGCTTGCACAAAAGTTACAACACACGAAATAAAAATTTCCCTACGGCAAATTTAGAATCATGAGTTAACTTTGCAGCATATTTTTTGTCTGTGGGAGGAAGCCATGATGACTGTGCAAGCTCCACACAGAAAGGCTCCAGCTGACCACCTGAAACCTATAACCCTGCTGTTCATTACTAACCATAGTTGGCATCAACCCTTAACTTCCCTTTTCTGGACTCACACTCAACTGTTAAGCTGTATTAGTAGCAAGTGTGAACATTTATTTTAGTGATAGTTGTGTTTCTCTTCTGCCTCACATTATGCATTGTGCATCACGAGTGAATCCCTTTGCCCAGTGTGTCATAGTGAGCTATTAGTGTACACAGAATTTGTAAGTGTTTTAGTAATTAGGAAAAAAACTGTAATAGTACCAGTAATCTTCCAAAACAGCTGAGAGCTTTAAGAAAGAGGTCCTTTATATATTCTGTGATGAAACTAGAAAGTTCAGAAAGCTCAATCAATAGCCGCTTACAGCAGAAAACAGTGTTGGCTACAAAGTATATGTCCAAGAAACTTCCACTTACTTTGACTGCTTCTTTGCTGACCATCGCCACCCCAAATGTCATCTGGAACATACACTTAAAATTGTGTCTGTGTAGGTGTGTTTATTGTGTCAATATAAACACAATCTACTTAACCAACCCTTGTTCTTCTTTACTTCTCTCAGATAAGTCAAAGGGAGTTACTAACATCAGGATTGTGCTCCTTGGAGCTAAGGGTTCTGGGAAGACTTCAGCACTCAACACAATCCTGGCAAGAGAGAACAACCCTAAACCCATTAGGACAGTTCGTTGCCAGGCTGGACAAGAAATGGTGCTTGGGAGACTGGTAACTGTGGTGGACACACCAGGGTGGTGGATGAACTACTTCTGTGATGAGAGCTCCAACTTTGATCGGGGGGAATTGGCGCTGAGTTCGTATTTTTGTCCTCCGGGACCTCACGTATTTCTGCTGGTGATCCGTGTGGACAGAGCATTCACAGAGACCTGCAGAAGAGCAGCACAGGAGCATCTAGATATGATCGGTGAACACATCTGGAGTCACGTTATCTTGCTGTTTAGTTTTGGGGACTGGCTCGGAGACACGCCTATTGAGCAGTCCATTGAGAGTGAGGGAGAAGCTCTGCGGTGGATTGTTGAAAGATGTGGCAACAAGTATCATGTTCTGAACAGTAAAATGAAAGATAAGGAATTTCAAGTCAGGGAGTTGATTGCAAAGATTGAGAAAACCATCACTAGCAGTGACAACGGCTGCTATTATAAACTAGAGAGGAAAGTGTTGGAGCAGCTGGAGGGGACGATGCGAAGAGAGAAAGAGAGAGCCAGAGAAAGGCTAATGAAGAAGAAGAAACAAAGGCAGATGGCAAGAGCTCAGCTGGGTGAGTTGGATAATTAACAAAGTCAACAAGATCTTGTTTTACTCATTTTAACAATATTTAATTTAGAAGCATGGTGGCTTTCTGTTTAGATTTTTAGAAATAAATAAATATATAACACTTCTGTTTGCCAGAGAACCTCGAACCTTTGACAGAGCTGAGAGTCGTGCTCATTGGTGGCCCAAAAATAGGCAAAAGCTCCTGTGGAAACACCATCCTCAGCAGAGACTGCTTTGACACGGCTGCTCAAACTACTTCCTGCACCGAAAGGAAGGAAAATATCTGTGGCAAGATGGTGGTGGTAGTAGACACACCAGGCTGCCTTTCTGTGACATCGGACTTCTTGAAGGCATCCTGTGCTATACTTCTGGTTGTCAATCTTAGCTCGTCGTTCAAAGATACCTGGAGGAAAACCTTGCAAAAAGACCTGGAGGCAGGTGGAGATCAGTTATGGAGCAGATGTATGGTCCTGTTCAGCTATGGTGACATGCTGGGTGACACAAGCATCGAGCAGCACATTGAAAGCGAAGGAGAGCCACTGCAATGGCTTGTTGAGAAGTGTGGGAACAGATATCATGTTTTAGACAATAAGAACTGGGGAGATGGAGCTCAGGTTAAAGAGCTAATTGATGTGATGGAGGAGATGCTGGTTGATGAGAGGCAGGCTCTTCTTCACAGAGATGATCACATGTGGAAAAGTTTTGCTTCAGCTCAAGAGCAGCAGATAGGCACAGAGCCACTGAGCAAAAGGGGACCAGAGGATTTCATGCGCAGCAGACCTGAGCAGTCCAATAACTGTGAGTAAACCTAATGAAACTATTTCTTTTATATGTCTTTTGAATTTGCCAATGGGTTTAAAAACTATTAACAAAATGAAAATTAGACAGCATTATGAGCTAATTTAAATAGTGAAAGTAAAAAAAGTGCACATAATAAACATCACAGAGAAAAACACAAAGAAAGACTCATTTAGTATGTGGTCTATGTGTTTTATACTGTTAATAAATAATAGTCTTAATAGTGTAGACTTTTTGTTGCTCACAGGAAATCACATCAAGTGTCATTATTTCCTTCACAGTGCCTGAATCTCTCCCCTATCGATCACCAAAGCTCTCAGAAGATTGTTCTCAGTTAGTAGCGTTACCAGCAGGAAGAACCACAGAGTTGGCTGGATGCATCATTGTGGACCAATATCACTTCATGTCCTATATATTCTCTCCGCTTTCTGGCAAACAAGTACTGAGGTTGCCAAAAGTGACTCAGCATGTCCCATCTCCTGCTCCTCACAACCACCTGAGAGTGAACAGGGAGGGTCACATGGATCCCATCCCACGCAGACTTGAAACAACGCATCTGGTGTCATCTCAGACACAGAACGAGGCATGTGTAGAACAAGATTTGATCAGTGTGCAATCACTCTGCCATCCTGCACTGATAGAGCGGACTCTTAGGAGGGTCTCTGAGTCTGGAGGCCTGCAGACATTCATTGATCAGTGGGGCAACAGCAGCCTGGAGGAACTGGAAGCCTTCGTTGACTTGCACTTTGAGATTGTGTGGGAAGAAGCCATGAGATCATGTCAGCCGCCTGAACCGAGCCACGCCGTGCCTGAGCAGGATAATGCTGTTGGGGAAGCTGGAGAGGAAGTGTTTACATCCATTCACAGGAAACTTTCAAAGCTGGAGCTGCTTGAGGAGATAAAGAGGGATCTGGCAGAACAGAGAAAGCACGTGGAGCAAATCTGGAGGATCATACAGCAACTTGCATACGAAATCAAACAGGGCCGTAATAATACACGCTAATAAAGGGGTCTCAGTAATAACAGAAACAAAGATCAATAATAAAAGCAGAGAATGGAAGAGAGAAATTGGTATTTTATCGAGTGAAATAAAAATTCAGAAGCAGTTTTTGGGAGGTTTATGTAAATAACAAGAAAAACTAAAGCAGATTTTATGGTTTTTATCCACAAGATGGCGCTATTGTATAAGGGAAGGTTGGGTAAACCATGTTCCTCTCACTCATTTAACTTTTTTTCATGGAAAATATTAGAAATGGATTATACAAATAGTTTCTGTCATCATTCATTAAATCTGATGTAACACACTGATGACTACACCTCCAGAAAAAAAGATCAAAGGTTAAAAATTGTTAGAAAAACATTTAAAATTGTCATAAAATCAATGAAAAATGAAGATGCTGTTTCTTAAGTATACCTTTAACTATGGCATACTTAAAACAATATTCCAACTTCTATATAATAAAGTGACAGTGTTTAGATTGTAGATTTACAACAGGCATCTTTAAAAATGTGTCTAGTAGACAATGCCACAAGTGAGCGCATTTTAAATAAATAATTATGAAAATTCTTGTTTAAATATGGAAAAAGACAGTTGAAGATCTTGATAATCACAATCTAATGTTGTCCAAATATCTTTCTCTTTTTATTATAATACTATAAGAGCACAACTTAGGGAGGAATCTCTGTAGCGTTGTAGATGAAAGCAGAGAAGATTGTACGTCTAAATAAAGAATATAGCTTCTTGCAGAATCGTTAAAGCCTTCAAAGATTTAGATTTGCTGTGTTTGCTTATGCAGGTGTCTCCACGTCTACTTCACCCAGTTTTTATTCAAACACTCCAAAATCCAAGAATCTGACAATGGTTAACAAACAGGAAGTCAATCCTGCTTACTTTCTTTGCAGAAAAAATAGAGAAATTGCAAAGCTTACATTTAAAGTCTTTCCGCCCTCCAGTGTTTATCAAGGGCTTTCAAGTGAGTCACACACAGACAGAATGCAGAGGCTGATAGGGCTCTGGCAAAGTAATGCTGTGAAAGTCCACTGCTTTCAAGGCTAACTCTCAGATCTTTCCAAATATACATGTATGCCAACACCAGGAGGCGGGTAGCAATTTTTGATGTAGGTAAAAATTACTGATGTGTATTCTGAACCTAGATGCAAATATGAAACAGCGATACATCTGACATCTGAGGCCTCAAAAATCTGGTGTGGTCATTCTTCCCAAGCAACATCACTGTGTTTCTCTTTATTAAACATGCATTATTCAACTTTGGAAATAGGTGTCTCCACATGGTAGTGAGAGATAAGACACCTGCTGCCTTCATGGCATGGTAATGCTTTATACTTATTGCCTTATTACAATGTTACTAGTGCGCAGAAAGCTATGTGATGCCAGGGCACGGATTCATGGATTTAGATGAGACATGGGATACAAATTTAAACCCCTACCTGTGGTCTCTTTGTGTGAACCTATTGTAAAAAGGATAAAAAACAAGTGATGAAAAATCAGTAAGGACAAAAGTGATCATGGTGACTCACTATCCTATTTTGAGTGACAAGAAAAAAAAAGTCCACAGCCATATCAGCTAGTCTGTGAGTTCATATTAGTAACCTAAGGCTGGTGGGAAGAGCCCTAGTTTTGCTGCTATTTGATCATGAATTAGCAAAGTGTCGAAACAAACCAACATTTTGACTTGAATGTGAAACTAGACGATAAGCCATATGTAGGGATGTGATCATGTGGACCAAAGTTCAAATTCAATTACAGGACGGGATAGTATCCAATAACTTTTGAGGCATTTCACACTAACTGCACATGCTGACCCTACTGTGGCCCTAGAAGAAAAATTACAGGATCAGCAAAGAATTTGGGATTCATCCTTTGGGGATGGAAAATGTCTTCAGTTATTAAGATACCTCAGTCACGATGAAAGCAGTGGAATTATCAGCTGGCCTCCAGGCTAAAATGGACTGAAGCTGTGCACCCATGATTTGGCAACAGATGCTCCAACTCTGTAATCAGTGAAACTGGCTACTGAGAACAGGGCATAAGTGGCACATATATACTGGGAAAAACAAGCCTTATATCACAGTGGCTATGCTGAATGTGGGGCAAAATGTATCTCTTTAGTGGTTACACCTGCAGCACACAAAAAAAAAAAGAAAAAGAGAAGACAGGTCTGTTTAAACTTTTGGCACATGCACACCTCTTATGAGTTGCTCTCATGCCTGATGGATCCACGGATGGTCGGCATATGCAGAGCATTCAGTGTAGCAACGGGGTCCAGACTACAGAATATTTATCATGACTGCATTTGAGAAAAAAGACTGATTTGAGAGACAATGCACAATATATGTTGGTCTCCAGGAAGATGACAGGTATTAACCTCTGGATGCAAGGTTTTAAACACACTATGACCTGCACAGTTGTGTGTATGGTCATGGCCGTTTACTCACCTAAAGATTTTTGTGCATAAAGACACACAATTGTTGTGGAACTGCTGTGTATTAAGTTTTTTCAGTGCTTGTTACTGGGCTTGTTCTCCGATTGCAGCATCACTCACTCTCCTATCATCCACAATTTTATTTTGTTATGGATTTTCCTCTGCCAGCCTCAGCTCTGCACTCAAACTTGTACTTATTATGATAGCTATGAAAAAAGACAAAGAAATCTAAATGTAGGGACCCAGGACAGGGATGGAGACTTTTCGAGGATGGAGTTACGGGAGGCCGAGGCATAATAGCTAAGAAGTGATTTGTCGGCAATCATGGTCTATTTATCTCTGTCAGTCTTCATCTTGGCATTTTCTCTCTTTGCATTATACCTTTTCGAATATCATTAGTCCTTCAATCCTCTCTCCCTCCTGTCTTATCATCTATCTTCCTCTGTTGTCAACATGTCATTCCTCTACTTTATTCTCCCGCTGCCCATTTTCTCTCAGCCTATTCTCCCTTTTCTATCTCTCCACATGTCTTTTCTCTCAGCCGTCCCATTCTCTCTGCAGGTCTCCATCTCATGGTCTCCCCTTCCTTCTCTCAAATCAAGTCGTGAGTGTTCAGCCCTCCCCTCTCATTAAGGGAGTTCTGTAGCCCAGGAGGAAGTGCAGTAGAAATGGATCCCCCCCCCCCCTCTCTCGCTTCGTTGTGGAGGCTGTTCAGGAGACAATTCTGAGCCCACATCCATCTCCATTAGTGGGACAGCACAGCGACCGGCACGACCCCCCCCCAGCCGCTGCCCCGTGTCACGTTTCACTGCCTGCTATTTTTCCAGGTGGAGAGAGAAAGCCGGGCAGAGGGACGGCAGGGTAGATGCTGGGAACGGGTCTAGAGAAGAAGGAAGAGAGGAAGGATTTAGACCTGGAGTAAAGAAATCATCCGTCCTCCACTTCTTTTCATGCTCTGATACACTGACTTCCCCTGGGGGTAATGTCTGGGACATGGCGCAGTGTCCACCAGTGCACCTCAGCGGGAGTACTGAAACTTTCTACCTTTTTAAAGAAAGTCTGCATGATGATCTCACAAGTGCTTTAGGCTTACATAGCTAGTACAGCACAGAAACAGCTGCTATTAGGCCAGGTCATGTTCGTGCGTGCTACAGCTAAATGGTGAGTTTAGCATTAATCCGACAGGATGACACTTAATTCTATCAAGGCTGTGATTAACAAAGGCTTTCCCACAGAGACATACAGGGTATTTAAGGGATTATTTTAAATAGTAACTTTCTCTTTCTGTTTTTTCTCTTTAAATTCCACAGTTATGCCACTAAATTATGTTTTTTTTTTTCTTTTGGGGATGTTCACGGCAATTTAAAAAAATACTTTGGCTAATGTTAGATTTTAGTGTTAACCAGCAATGGTTGTGACTCATGATTTGTAGCACAGCATAGTCATAGACTTGCAGTAGTAACTTTCTGTGAATCCACATTCCATCCATCTGTTCTCTACCACCTATCCTTATCAGGCTAGAGTATCCCTGCTACCACAGGGCGAGAAGCAGGGTACACTGTGGACAGATGGCCAATCTGTTGCAAGAGTAACACAGAGAGACAGACAACCACTAACACATTAACACTTATGGCCGCGCATAGACTCAACCCACTAACTCTTTTGGACTGTTGGATGGAGCCAGAGAGAAGATGCAAACTCAACACAGAAAGGCCAGATGGTGGAGTGGAACTTGCTGTGAGGCAAAGCACATCCTATCCACGTTTTCGTGATCGATTTCATTTGCCACCAATCTTTTGGGAATTTTTAACGGAAAGATTTTATAACTTTTGACTGTAGTACCAAGAAATCCTAGACTGTGTATAAAAGACTGGTGTAGCCACTGTGATGTTACCTGTTTGTTAGTGAGGTCCTGTTGTTGGTAAACGTGAAACATTTTACTTTTTCTGCAATGGCAGAATCAAGTGAAATTGTTAATCTAATCTGCCAAAACAAATGACATTCCCATTATTCTCAGCAGTACTGCAGTTGAACCTGGTCCCAATCTTCAAAGCAACTATTCCAAAGACAAACAAGACTGCAAATTTATTGTTTATTGCAGTAATTCTGGTGTGGTCTCAAACCCCCATTTCCCCTCGTGTGACTTTAGCATTATCGTGCCTGGAATCAGAATTTAGGTCAAAGTAAACTGGGCATAAGGAGGCATAAACAGCATGGTCATACACATGCATCAAGTGTCTGTAGTAAAGAGTCTTTTGTGACCACTTTCAGGTGTGCATTTGCAATTTGTACCATGAAGCAGAAACACTGCCGGCTCTGTCTGTGGGGATCTTCGTGTTGTGGATCATCACTTGTCATGAGAGCTACCACCAAGAGATCAAACAGAAGTCTTCATAGTGAAAGAGCCATTAGTCTCCAAGGCTGACCAAAGCACCTGCTGTCAGGAGCGTGGCCAGGAAAACATCTTTTTTCCCCTTCCTAACAGTCACAGGGTTACACATTGTAAATCTGCTCACTGGGGTCAGACTGTCAACGTGGAGTTGTAATGTGCTGAGGTGTGTGAAGAAGACCTTTCTGCTGCATAAATGACCCAAACTTTTGCTTTGTCAGTGTTGCCTAAATTACAATGCACTGAGTTTTTAGATCACACCATGCAATAGCTGACCACACACACTATTTAATTTTTGTCTGTTCAACTTCTCTCTCTTTACCAAAATGAAATTCGAATAGCATTCTACGGTGGCCCTGAGAGGCCAAACGGACTGCAACTTAAGAAAACACCAGCAATAAGAAAAACACTGCAAAAGCACACAAAACACAACGGAAATAGGGAAAAACGAAAACGGAAATAGTTAAAAACAGATTTCCAAAAGTGCAAGGGAAGTGTTTCTGGGGAGACAATAACCCGACGGACCAGTTGGAGGAACCAAAACATGCTACGTAAGTGTGTTTTAATCTCATTATTCATATAATACTGAGGCTAATAGTTAGGCTAATACACTTACCTCTCATCTTTTCTTTATTCACAAAACGGATAGACCCTTCACTTCTTTTAAGCGTCTCCCAGCGCGATTCTTAGCATATTTTAGTACTGCAACTGGTCCGTCAGGTTATTGTCTCCCCAGAAACACTTCCTTTGTGCTTTTGGAAATCTGTTTTTTCTATTTCTGTTTCCTTTTTTTACTATTTCCGTTGTGTTAGCTGTTTGCTTTTGCAGCGTTTTTCTTATTGCTGGTGTTTTCTTCAGTTGCAGTCCATTTGGCCTCTCAGGGCCACCGTAGAATGCTATTCGAATTTCATTTTGGTAAAGAGAGAGAAGTTGAACAGACAAAAATTAAATAGTGTGTGTGGTCAGCTATTGCATGGTGTCGTCTAAAACCTCAGTGCATTGTAATTTAGGCAACACTGACAAAGCAACAGTTTGGGTCATTTATGCAGCAGAAAGGTCTTCTTCACACACTGTAGGGCATTACCACTGGAAGAAATCCAGTACATATCAGAGCAGCACATGCGGTCAGAATGTGACTTTTGTAGAACCATCTAAAAATAATAGCAGCTGTGCTGGAAGCAGTGCAGCTCACAGAAATGACCTTGAAGGCAAGATCAACCAAACTTAAAGGTACGATTTCTGATTTTCATGGACAGGGTTATGGAATTGGATGATAACACCATCTTCAAGAATGACCATTCAGAACATCTACAGACACTGGACTTTGGATTTGTGTCCATTTGACCCTTTGCTTGATTAAGTTGGATAGATAAAGTTCAAATTCTCTGTTTTTAGATTTGTCTGACAGGGCTTCAACTCTTTCATCTCCAACCTCTAGGAACTATTATATCTAAATATGCAGTTTGCTCTATACGTATTCTAAGTAGTGTCATGGCTCTGAATCCTCAACACATGTAGAATATATAAGGGAAATAAATACTGTCCTCTTTATTTTTTCTCATTACAGAGCTTAACAAATTTATTAGACCA